CCCCAAAACCCCAAAACCCCAAAACCCCAAAACCCCATGGGTACGGTGGTGGGTTGAAATGGGAGGAAGTTTGGTGAGATAAGAGATTTTGGAGATTTTTAGGGGAAGGGAGTTTAGGGGGTGGAGGAAGAGAGTTTTGGGTAAGGATTGGTGGTGGAGGGATAGGGAGGGGTGGTGGGGAGAAAGGGAGGGTATGTTAATTAGGAAGTTGGGATATTTAAGTTTGATGGTTTTTATAGATAATTTTGAGCTCATAATTTAAACTAGCCTTATAAATTTAGTGTAAAAACTATAGGAAATTGTTCATAAGTTGTTGTCATCTTCACTCTTATCCAACCCGTGGCAACTTCTCATTGACGCATTCATCAAAATACTATAAAAGTAGATAAATCTTCGTGTTCTTTCTCTATGAAAGATCTTCTCTAATAAAATTCTCAACTTTCTTCAGTTCTAAAATCCAATAGAAGATTCATTATTATTCCAAATTTGCATAATTAAAGGAAAATATGAGATTCTCATATCCAAAGAGGACGCACAAGTGATGACCCATAGCTTCACTGAGTCATGAGGATTGATTGAGACTCGTAGAAGAAATCAAGAAGTCTAGAGACCGTATCGATATTGTGGAGACACTATCATGTGTACTGATTTTAATTTGGAATTTAAAGTCTATATGAAGACTATCAGAGTGTAGCAAAATTATGTAAAAACATGAGAATTTGTTAAAAATTGATATCGTCACAAGAAGAAGCTTATATTGTTTTTAGAACCTTTGGCATAAGGCATTCGACTTATTTCTGATTTAAAGCTCTTGATAAAATCATTAACGTGAAAGAAAAGATGTAGTTATAATATCTTCATGTGTTTATAAGTCATCTTACATTTCTCAACACAATAAGTCAGAATTGGTCAGCTAAACCCCCTTTACTATTTTTCAAACTCATACTTATCCTTCTAAAATACAGTGTTGCTTCCAATGTTTTGCTTTGTGTTGTAGTGATTTTGCAACTTGAGGAGAAAAAAGAGAATTTTCAAAATGGTGTTCAGGCAGCAATTATGAATTTCAGCTATTTAGCATACTACCTATTAGCATCCTTCTCTTAGTAGGAGTATGGAGCCGCTAATATCAGACAATAAACTCATGAGAGCTAGCCATAAATACTATAGCTCTAGAGCTCAGAATTTGTAGCTCTCTAAACTGTGTTTTTTGGTTGTAAAAACTATGGGTTTTGAATGCCACATTTTGACAAACCTTTTACAACTTAGTGATATTTTAAAAACTAGTTTACTGTTAATAACAGGGATTCTGAGGGAAGAAAGCAGCCGGGACTTGGTCTAGCCTAGATCTAGCATTATTTTTGAAAATTTTGGAGATTTTTAGCATTAAGTGCCATATTTTGGTCAATTTGGAGAGGTCGATTATGGGAGAATTAAGACTTTTTTGAGCATATAATTTTTGGAAAATTTTATACGAGGCTTACTGATAAAAGAAGTCACTCATTTTAAAGGGATATGGCAACTCAAAGTTTTTGGAGAGCCTTCTTTGTTTTATCCTATTGTTAGACTATTTCTCACAAAATAGAGAAAATGATCAGAAATTCATATAAAAATTGAGCTTGTAAAACTTCTCTAAACTTGAAAAAATAAATATAAAATCGAACTCTATCTTCTCTTCCATAATTTATCGTTCTAAAACTTGCAGGGATCAAGAAAGTGAGATTTTGAAAAATTTGATCATAAGAAGCATATCCTTGGAAATTTCTCAAACCGACTAAAGGTCAAATTATCTATGGGTAAAATCTTATGACTCATATTCATAGGCAGAGGTACTCTAATTTGCCTCCAACTAACTTGAACAGTCCTACCTTCAGCAAGGGAATTCAAAAATTCAACTTAAAATTAGAAAGCAATGAATATCATTACCGTAAAATTTCGGATTTAATCTCCTTATGTACTCTGGTGATAAAAGGACCTATATAATTTAAAGTACTTTGCCTGTGTTTACAATCATTTTTATTAGTACTTTTATGATTGTCAGGAAATGTTAGCCCCAGACAAATTAATTGTTATTGTAACCTGTTAGTTAAAAGACAAATTACTGTATTTGGGTGAAGAATTATCTACGAAACTAAATAACGCATTTTTTATGTCTAAGAAAATTCTTATGAATTAGAATAAGGTTGGGAAACATATTTACGTTATAATTATCAGTCATCCTTTATGAAAGAGAATTATTAGATAAACAGACAAATTTATTCAGACTATGCTCATTAGTTATTGGGATGGAGGAGTTGTATGAAATTGTGTCTATGGGAAGGAGAGGGATGTGTTTTAACTTTTTATGATGAAATTGGGGTAGGATTTTATCTCTCTCATGTTAAATGATCTTCTTTTGGAGGTTTTATTGGTAAGAGCCTTGCTGCAGAGGTTTTATTCTCAATCTAACACTTGTTCCAAAGTCCCTGATATGGATTTATTAGCTTTTGGTATAATACTTCTGCATAAAACTCTCAGACAATTAGACTGCATTATCTTCTTAAGCTTTTTGTAATTAAATCTTAAGTTTGTTTCATTGAACTCAGATATTTCTCTTTTAATCTTTTGCTTACAATTCATCTGAGATGGCTTCTTTATCTTGAGAATGCCAATGGTGTAGTAGACTAAGTCATCTACAAGAAGCTCTTCAGGAACAATGGCCTGCAAAGTTAGCCTCATCGTATCAAATATCTTATTAACACTTCAGTTGACATATCTTCTGTAGACTATCTGTCAGTTCATGGACTTGAATAATTTCTTAATGAAGGTTTTGATAAACCTAATGGAGCTCTTCACTTTACAGTCGAATCTTTTATTAATTTTGTTTTGGTCTAGCTTTAGGCTTCCTGAGAGTACTTTCGCGATTTTGAATACTTTCTTCGGCAATATTTCAGCCATCTCACAGCCAGATTCATTTTCTTTAGAATCTTTCGAATCTGTGCTTATATTTTCTCTTCATTCTGATTCAATTTGAGTTTTAGTATTAAGCAAGATATTTTGACTTAAAACTCTATTATTTCTGAAGAGAGATGTATCAGGACAGATATTATCTTTAAAACCACTCTTTGTGAGAATCAATGAGACAAGGGAAGAATCAACGATGCCAAAAGAATTCCAGTCTTGCATCATTAGTCTCATTTTCTATATAATATAGATTATTGGGAGAAAAGAAAATGATGTGACTAAAAACCATATTAACTAAATTCCTGGTACCCATTCATTTCATCAGAATCGTTTTTACCAGGAAATAGCATTATGCATCCTCTTCTTACCTCGTCTTGATCACTATTTCAGAGGAACACATTGTCATATCCAAAGCAGTTGGCATCTTCTCACAGAAAGCTGTCTCATTGTCCCGAATATTCTGATGCTATCTGTTCTTGGTTTGATAAATTTGAAAATAAGTTGTCCATTATAAATTTGATAATTATTACTCAATATAAAGATAATTGCACGGGGTTTTGGGGTTTTGGGGTTTTGGGGTTTTGGGGTTTTGGGG